CATGGTTGAACCTTGGGTGTTTTTTGTAGGGAAGGAGGGGATACTTGTTAGACCTGCTTGCACCACGGGCAGTAGGACACAGGTGGGCTTGTGGCTTTTACAGCTAGACATTGCTCCACTTGCACCCCACTGCACTCCCAGGGAAAAAGGAGGTCATTTTATCCACTGCTTCCCAATGACCATATTCCTGGGACACTCCTGCAGTGACCATGGTGCCTTTGTTAGGGATGAAGCCTAGCTTCTCTCTGTCATGATTTCATGGGTGGTTATGTCCAGCAGTTATGAATTCTGGTGGTTTCCAGGCTGCTTTTTTAAGTTATTATGGTATTTTTGACTGACATGTCAGAGAGAGAATTCAGACTTTCTGTCTTTTCCCCTCTGCCATCATGATCTAGCAGGACAGAAAATGCAGAGACATCTCTGGATGCTTCCTTCAGAGGGCCTGGAGGCATCTGAGAAATTTCACTTGTGAGGAGAGCCTCACGCAAAGGAAAACCAGGAACATTTTGGATAACACCAGACCCTTGTCAGTGACGCAAATCTGAAAAAAAGTTACAAAGTGAGACAGAGAAAGAGACTAGCAAACACATTCCCAAAAGTTTACAAAGCGGGACAGAAAGAGACTAGCAAACACATTCCCAAAAGTTATGGAGGTGCAATGTAGTGACTTGGCCATTGCCTTCTCAGAAGCAGTTGCTGCACGTGCACACAGCAGCACCAAGACCACATTACCAGCTGAGATGGTTTTGTCTCCTAATGGCTTTCTGGGTGGGTTTGGAGAGGTGCCCACGTATGTAAAAAACCCTCTGAAGGGGAAATGCCGTCTTTGTTATAGAGACACAGCTCCCATTTATACTGTTCTGTGAAAATTTGCAGAAGACAGTGTAGCACATCCCCTAATGCAACGTTTTGGAGTTTCTTCTATTTCCCTACTGTTACTTTTGTGTTGGTTCTAGCACCCTTATTATAGATGTTTGTATTTAAATTAAAAACCATGGCAATTTGTCTCCATAAACTATAAAGGAGGAGCAGTGAAAATAGCTTGGGCTTTGATGTTTCAGGACATCTAAAGTTTGGTGAGATCACTCCTGCCACTTCTCTCTAGAAAATATGATTCAATTTACAGATATTCTTTGGGTTTTAGAAGCTTTAGGCTGCACGTCCTGTGCCAGGGAGCTTTGAACACACACTACCTGCCTGTCAGTCACAGTGTGGTCCTTACACCAAGAGGCTGGACTCTGCGCTGGTACCCTGATACCTTCAGTTAGCTGCCAAGTCAAAAATCAGATGGAGAGGATTTGTCCATTATAGGTGTTAATGTCGTCATCTCTCCTTAATTACTCAGGATAACTACATAATTATTAAAGTCTTCAGCTTGATTAAATACTTTTTGTGTATTGTTAGAAATTTATGACTGTGCATCCATTCCTTATTGACTCAGCTCATCTATACTTGGGTCAAAACTTTATCTACTAACTATGATTTAGCCCATGGCTTAAAAATTCACTTATGACTATGGAACAACATCTAAATGCTGGTTATCCTCTCTTTGGTGGATCTACTTTGGCAGTGCAACTGCTTCAAACAGCTTTTGCAGCTAACCTAGAGGAGTCTGAATTTCTGTACTATAATTTCTGCACTATACACTCCACAGTGGCATCAAAATACCATGATCTCCTGTGCATCAATTCTGCCTTGTGGCTAGAATTCTGTCCAAGACACATGAAGGAGGCCAAGGGATGATGTTACCACGTGACTGAGGAGCAGTTTGTGATTATCTAGGCCACCAACCATCACTGCTGTTCATCCAAGCTCCTCTTTGGAGCACACTAAAACATCTGCTCTTTGGCAAGCTGCTCGGGCTTGGCCTTTTGTTGGTCTCGATGTTCTCAATGTTCTCCTTATGTCTGCATACAGTGACTTCCAGGTGCTTGGAGCCTTCTTTGCCATGAACAAACCGTCCCCTGGAGGCGAGGGATGGAATGGCACACAGGTATTTTGTGTAGTAGCGTTTTAAATAGGGGCGACACTGCTGGAAGACCTTCCTAATATTTGCAGCTTTTTTTATTTTTACATCAGAAAACTAGTAGGAGCAGAGTTTGAGATTCTCCCGTTTCCTCCTATTTGCCTCATCTGCTGTGCTAGATACAGACTCCTAAGATGGAGGTAAGATCCTCCTTCCTCTCTGGGAAGCGATCTTCTCATAATTACCCAAACATCTTGATTTGAAAAGGTTGAAAGCCATTTCTCCTCACAACGCTCTGCAGACTCATTGTGAAGACACTTCCCTTAATAGCATATCCCACCTCCATCAGGCAGAGCTTCAGGCTCCATCTGTCAGGGTTCTAAGCACTATAGTATGATATAAAATGCTGACCCCATCATAATACTTCTCCTCCTCCAAAGAGGACTGGGTGATCTGGACCTGAAATAGGTGGAGGAGTGGGGCATCATTGGTGAACTCCAACTTGAAGAAGCAGGAGTGAAGACTTGACATGGACTTAGAGGGAAACATAGCTGGATCATCTTCTGAACTCTGAATGATAAAAGAAAGGAAAAAACACCCACATTATTTAGGCAGAAGGGAACTCTCCATGAAGACCCCCTTTCCCCCTGCACTGAGAATAGTGAGAAAGTAGATTATTTTTTATGTAAAGAGGATTACTTGCCTAATGCCAAGAGCCAAATGATAGTGAGGTGCTGCCCAGCTTAGTTGGGCTGGATCCCATGCACTTTCCTACCCAGGTACCTTGGGTAAAGGAACGTGCAGTTGGTGCTACTGTGATCCTGGTGTAGGTCAGGTCTACCAGCTAAAGGAGCTGGACAAAAATGCTGAGATCATGAAGGGCAAAACACTGATATGTTCCTCCTGCTGTACGAAAGTGAGTGACTGTCTCCTGCTCATAAGAACAGGAGCTTCAGGCAGGGATGGAAAGGATTTCCACCCTGAGATCCACAAACCAAAATCTCAATAAGGGCTGCCTCACCACTATCAGCTTTGAACAACCAAAGGTGCTCCATCGTTCCTCTGCTTCTCCCTTACCCGTCTCCAGGCAGAGATATTTTGATTGCAAAGATGGGAGTGACCACCTAGAATTTATAATTAACAGTGCCAAGAATGCTCACCGTCAGAGCCTAGTCCTTGACACTGCTCGCACATAGGACCTTGGACGTGTTAAAAATGAACCACGCATCTTTGGTTCCTTGAGGAATCAGGTTGAGTAACAATAGCAGTTGGTAGGCAAGCTAACCGCAAACTCTTGGCCAGTTGTGAAGTAACTGCAACTTTTGCAATTTTATTCCCTCCGTTTTTCTGCTTTATGGCCAGAAGTTCATACACACACCAAAAATTCAACTAACATTTTTTCCTACTGCAAAAAGAGTCCGCTTACAAAAATATGTAGGAAATAAAAAGCTGCCTCAGTTATCAGGGTATGTATTTAAGGGAAACCATTTGTAGGCATGCTTTTCTCATATTTATATGTGTGTGTCTGCATGTACACTTCTGTGTACTTGAGAAATTAATGTAAAAGTATTGAAGCAAATCACATCACCAGTTCTGAGGAACCAATACGCAGTTAAAGTATTTCTGTTTAGCTTTGGTAATAAATGATCTGTAAGACATGGTGTCATTTGCAGAGATCTTGGTCAACTAGAAATGCCAATCATTCAAAATAGCAAACATATTATGTTGTACTTGGGGTGTTATATTAAAATATTGTATGACCAACATTTGTTGGCTGAAATGAGGTGTAAAGTAAAATATGATCCAAAAAAATACTCAATATTGGTAGTTTTGGATAGTTCTTGGATATATCAGCAAGTGACTGGGTGCAATGGAAGATCAATAGATAGAAAAGGATAGTTAGAGATTGTGCTGAGGCTCCTCAGTTCTTCATTATATGGATTTATGAATTCAGTTTGACTGGATTTTGCTATTGAATAAACCACAAAAACAATGTAAGTTGGAATGGGTGTTTGAAGAACATCTGGTACAGCCATCCCTCCAGACAGAGCCAGTTATGAAGACAGACCAGATTGCCTAGAGCTTTTTCCAGCTGCATTTGAATATCTATATGGGAATGAAGATTCTATAAATTCTCTGGGCCCTCATGCCAGTGTTTGACAACCCTCATTGTGAAAGGGGTTTTTTTTCCCTTATATCTAATTGGAATTTCTCTCATTGTAATTTGTGTCTGTTACCTCTCATCCTTCCACTGGGCACTGCTGAGAAGAGCGTGGCTCCACCTTCTCTGTAGCTACTGTTAGGTAGTTGAGAACAACAACTAGATGACCCTTAGCCATGTCTTCTCCAAGCTAGGTCCTTCAGCCTCTCCTCAAATGGCTGATCATCTGGTCCAAACTCTCCAAACAAGATCAGCCAAATTTGAAGAAAAATGCTCAACCAGGAGCTCTGCAGCTTGAGGATCCAGAGACAGACCCTAGCACTGGATTTCCCAAAACTGATGTATTTTCCATCTGTTGGAAGTGTGTACAGGGACATAACCATAAGGCATTCACCCTATTTCTGTACATTTTATGCTCTTTACTTAGACATCCTCAGTGGCGACTGGCCACTAAGTCAATGGACATTTGTTTTAGTTTCTTATGGAACAGAAAATAAACTAACTGGGAGTGCAGATAAGCACACAGATGTCTTGTAAAGAAATGGATGATGCTGCTCCTAAGCAGGACCAGTTCACTGTATGTCCCAAGATGTTTGACACATACCACAGTGGCTTAACGTATCTTACACAAACTGGAGTGTCACAAGAGGTGTTGCATGAATAACCCAGGATTTTCCAGAAGAAAAGCTTCTATGGGTTTGGAGGGAAACCCAGCTTTTTCACCAAGAAATGAAAAGCAACTTGATTCTGGTTGGATTAGAAGTCACCCCCAAAAAATGGTAATTTTTTGATTGGCTGAACATGTTCTTGCTGAGAAGAGAAAGCAGTTGCCACCCCCCTTAGGGAACAGGGTATAAAAGAGGGTCTCAGCCCCACAGCCAAAACCCTCTGGAGGGAAGGGACCAAGAGCAGCTCCTGTTTGGCGTCTGAGCTCACCTCATACCTGGTAACTTTTCAGTTATTTTCAGTGTTTCTTTCAATGCCTGCTATTGCTTTTTCCTCAGAAAACCAACCAACCAAACAAAAATTACCAAAAAACAAAACTTCTGCATTATTAACCTAAATTTGTAGATTACTAAAAAAGGTTAGTCTCAGTTTTTAAGAAATTGCACAGGTTGAATAAGTAGCTCAAATATATGTTAATACCTAGAATACTTTGATAAAAATACTCTGCTTATTAACCCCCAGGGAAAAATCTGACTGGGTCAGGTTACTTTAGAGAAGTCCAGAGAAATTGGTGGTCTCTTTGATGCAATATATTTTTTTGTCTACATCTTTATGTTAAGAACTTCATTTCATTTGCAGAATTGTTAACTTCACCTACTTGATGCTCCTGATATTTTAAGTATAGAAATTTGTGTAATCTTCTAATACTATTTCAAGGCTGTTTTGGACAACCCTCTACCAGTCTTTGCAGAAATACGACATTTCAGTACAACTTAATTTCTCTTCCTTGCTTAGGAGACCATAATTAGTGGCAGATCAGAAGTTCCTGTAATACCAAGATATATGACAGTAACTACCTCTTCTTTACCCATAAAATACATTCTAGATTATATAATCCCAATTTGCTGATATTAGTTCAATTATTAGCTCTTTCAATGAAGGCATTACATGTTTGCTTTTCAAATTGCATTTGTCAAATTTCAGTTTGGGAACCAATTTGGTTGTACATTTCAATTCCAGAACTGCAGCCTGTAGACTAAGATCAAAAATTTTGAGCAAGTTGGTTTTAGCTGTTAATTCTTGATAAATTTTAACATTGTAAAATGAACGTATGGGGTTTTTTTTCAAGTTTGTAAGTCTGACTGTATATACCCCTCATTGTGCTTGGTGCTGTTTATTTATTTGATAAAACATTTAATTAAAAATAAAGTTATGGTTGCATTTTGGCTAAGGACTGTTTGCAAAATGTGAAAGAAATACGAGGAATCAAACTATTAAAATAATTTAATAATCACATAACCTGAAAGCAAGTTGCCCTATATATATTTACTTTTCCCAGAAATGTTCACACAGCAGTTACATCACATGGGTCCTAATGGTTATTTTTGCAAGTTTGAAGAAAAAGGCAATATAAATGCCATAACACAGCATTTGCACAGTTCAGAAGACTGTAGATCCCAAGGATTGTCTGTCATACATCTCTCTTGGTCCTTTCTCCCACAGTGACACAGCAAATCCATAGTCATGAAGATCCTTTACCTGCTCTTTTCTCTCCTCTTCTTGGCACTCCAGGTTTCTCCAGGTAAGGTGGAAAAGAGATGCTAGAAGGGATGTTTTGTCCACCTGAAATAAACTTTCCACTCAATTTTAACCACTGCTGGTTAAAATTGCTAGAAACTGAGCAGGACTTGGTCATATAGTGTTTTGTTTGTGCTCCTCTATGAAAACTCTTTCAAAGGTGGAGAAAATGTAACTTCTGAAGAAAAGTGATTTTTCACTTCTGGTATCTTCCTAAAAACACTGTGCTAAACACTCTGGAGTTAGACATCTGAGATGGTGTCTGTTGGCCATGATCTTTGCATAACAGCACACTCCGCAGTGCATACACAGAAGAAAATGAAGCCTGGCCAACTATTTTCAGGTAGGACCCAATTTTAAAGCCTCTGGACCCATGACCCTTTTCCATAAGGTAAAGGACAATGAGTCAGGAGGTCTGCATCATTCTCTACCTGGGCTTTAAGGCCATCCATTTAGATGCACTGTGAGCTAAGGATCCCACCTCTGCAAGGTGATCCTCTGCAAGGTGGTCCTCTGCAAGGTGGTCACCTGCTTTGTCATCTCAACTCTTATGCAGCCTTTCAACAAGGCCAAATCCAGCCAACCATCCTGAAGGCAAGTTGGTGGTGAAGGCAGCTCAACGAATTGGAAACCCCGTTGGCATTAGGACTGCATTGCCCTGCCCTGCAGAATGAGAGGAAGGAAATTTTTTATGGTTGTTGTTGTTGCAGGTTTGTCTTCACCCCAGCGGGACATGTTTTTCTGTAGAAAAGGGTCCTGCCACTATGGAAGGTGTCCCATCCATCTGATTAAAGTTGGAAGATGCTTTGGGTTTCGCTCCTGCTGCAAAGCGTAAGTTTGACCTTCACCAAGGTGTAGCTGCAGTGTGAGCAGACAAATCTATTCTGTCCTAGTACTCCATAAGGACAGTCAAGGGTTGAAGTAGGTTGAGATCCATGGTGCTCTTTCTCCTGAGATGGGCACCATGATCTGCCCTAGCAAGAAGGCTAAAATACAGTTGGAGATGTCTTGTGCTGTCCCAGCTCTGTTGGACACCTTTACAGCTCCTACACCGGAGGGAAATACCAGGGTTTGGCATTTGGAGAACCTGGCTGCTGTGCTGTGTGGGGAACAGAGAGGAATTCAGTTATGCTGAGGGTGGACACAGATCTCTGAGTGCCATCGAATGCGGGCAAAAAGTGCCGCAGTGTCGTAAAAATAAATTATCGCATGAAAGGCAGCCTTCTGTTTTCACTCAGGAATTAATGCATTCACCCCAACATCAAGGGATAACAACTTATGTCCCTGCTTTTCCTGAAGCAATAGGAAAACAGTCTTCTTACTCACAGGTATGAGCACATGGGGCTGTCCCATCACAACTACACATGACAATAGGTATTTTGGAAGGTCCTTATACCCAAGAGGAAAATAAGGATGGATTGGAAGTAAGTAGGGAGGGAATACAAGCTGAGACATGATCTGAATCTTATTTTATTTTCTTTGTGCAGGCCATGGGATGTATGAGAACTTCACGGATTGTCCATTCGAGAGCGATGAACGTTTCTTCTAAACCTAGGAATCTGCTTTGAACCCCCCTTATTGCTAAAACCACTAGATTCTGTTACAAAGCCTCATTCACCTTTTGTTTTTAATGCAAAAAGCTTGATGGTGTAGAGTAAATCCAAATGCATTCTAGACTGCTTTCTCTCTTTTTGAATAAATTGCTGCTTTGCATTTGCATCACTGGAGCACGGGTGTCTGTTGCATGGGCGGAGGGCGATGATCCCACCTGGGTTTTGATGCACAAACATAAATAGTGCAATGATTATCTAAACAGGGTGACAATTTATGCCAGTTCTTCTCTCTCCACAAGTTGCTTGTCCTGTAATTTCACAGCAATGGATGAAAGTTTGGGGTTTTTTTTTCCCCCACTTGTGTCTCTGAGAGGATGCATAAAAGATAATAGATGGAGAACAGCTTATATTGGTCTCACTTCATTAGCTCCTCTCCCACTGCTTCCACCACATGGCACAATCCCTTTAGTTCTCCATTGGGATACCCACGTTTCTGAAATGTTGTTCAGGAGGGGATTTTGTTTCCCTGCTAAAATTGCAGCACTTCCATGTCCTATGACTATGTCCTTGCACTTCTTAGCAGGGAACAAACTCATCCTCAGGAGTCCCAACCGACTTCTGGTGGCTTCATTTCCTTTACTCAAGTCATGGCAATGGTTAACATAACTCGAAGTCGTTAGGAAATGGGTGTTTGGAGGAACACATGCCTGGACAAGCTGTGGACCCTCTGCCTGGTGCAAGCTGACAGTCTGGCCCTGCCATGCAGAGAGAAACAGTGGGCAGGGCTTGCTCAAATATCCAAGGGGGCTGAGCAGGTACTGTTGTCCCCCAGAGGGAAAGTATCTAGAGGAAGAACCCAACATAGTCATGTGTTAAGGCAAAATCTCATGCTTCAGGCCTCTTCCCAGTGTATATGCAGCAACTAGATTACGTCCACCCTCAAAAGGCATTTCCAAACTGGTTGGGCAGGTTTTAGAATTTTAGAACGTCTCTGAGTGTTTATTTCTTTTTTTTTTCTTTTGTCTCTTTGGTACAGTTTGTGGACTTGCTCTCTATCTGACACTGCTAAAAGAAAATAAACAGAATGCATAGAAGACTTACACTGAAAGCAAGTCCAGCACTCTGTATATAGAGGACAAACAAGACACCAGAACAGAGTCAAAGCAGTGAAAATCTGTGCTTAGAAAATGTCAGGGTGTTTTTCAGTTGTCATCATGACAGAAGTTGTAAGTTTGGCTGAGAAATGGAAGTGTGAAAAGAAATTAACCTAAAAAGAACAAACATGCTGTTGACTATTCCTTAACAGGTAGATAAGCAGGATAATTATGGCATCATATAATGGTTTAGGTGGGAAGGGACCTTAAAGGTCATCTTGTTCCAACCCCCCTGCCACAGGCAGGGACACCTCCCACCAGACCAGGTTGCTCCAAGCCCCATTTGTTGCAATCCCAGTTTGGCAGAGAGGAGAAGAGAGAGAGAGGAGGAAAAACCCTGCTTTCTCCTTGCTGGACTACTGGACTTTTTCAGGTTGTGGTCCACAGGACCCATTGAAGAGGACACCTTGAGGAGGAGCTGGACAGCCAGTGTGGGAGACCCACTTTCCTCCAAGGCCTGTAAAGGTCTCCTTAAGGGCTGTCTGTGGCATCAGGGCCCTGCAGGAAGGACGTGGTAGGAAGAAAGGCTGTGGGGCTGGTGGAGGGGTTGGTGCTGTGAACACTAGTAGGGAGGGATTTGAACAGGGACTGCTCTGAAACTCACAGCCCCACTGCAGGGGAGGGAGATGGAGATGTGGTGGGACCTTTGGGGATTCTGGGACGGGTGGCCCTGGCCATGCCCACCCAAGGGACACACCATCCAGCACAGATCTGTGCATGAAACCATGGCTGTGCAGGAGCAGGACAGGGCTCTCACTTCTCCCAAGGGACCATCCTCCAGAGCAGCTCCATCACACCCACAGCAAACACCCTGGCCCAGCAGGGACTGCCCAGATAGGTGTCCCCACACCACTGCCAAGAAAGAGCATCCCTGGGACACTCATGGTGGTGACCTCTAGCATCCCCAAGTGCTTCTCCTCCACAAACCCACCACCACCAGAGCAAGCAGACGCAGCACACCCTCCATCACAACAGGATAGACACACATCCAACACACTGCAATGCCAAACTGCTCATCTTTATTCAAGCCAGGAAAAGCAGCCTCTGCCCCAACGACACCAGAGCACTCAGCAGGAGAAGCGCTTCCACTCCTGCTGTCACACCACCTGGGGACAGCAGAGGCAGGAAGAGGAGAGGACATCAGGACATGGTTCCAGAAGCCAGAAGTGAGAGGGACATCCTGGTTGCAGAGTCCAGGGTCTCAACCCCAGAGACTGTACAAAGAAAGCAGACAAGAGCGTCACCCTTTGAAGCTCACTTTTCCTTTCCCTCTCTCTCTCCCATCTCCCTGCAGTGACAAGCAAGTCTATGGTCCAAGAGAATCCGGCTCAACAAAGGTGAGGTTTTGTTGCTATTGCAAACAGTTTGGGCCTGTGTTATCTTAGTGTTGGCAGCCCTGACTCCAAGTCTAGGTAGATGCAGCAAAACCAGGATCATGACCTCGATGCTGTCCAAGGACAGTGACTGCTTTGCTCTTGGTTGGCTTGGGAGAGCCCTCTGCAAAGCCTGAATGGGTCTCCTGGGACTGAAGGAGAGCAGGGAGGTGCTGGCTGACCTCGGGCTCCTTCAGTCCCACCCAGAGCAAATCCAGCCACCTTTCCTTTCCTCCCCTGGCCTCTGCCTTGGAGCATGTATAGCACTGAGCTGTTAGAGAGTCACGGGCGCTTAAACACAGAAGCAACTCTGCCATCACAGTAGCATATTTATATCTAAAAACTTACTTTTTGCAGCAAAAGAAGAACCTTGAACATTTCCCTTTGACGATAAAGGGGAAAGGGCACTTCAGAAATCCACAGAAGCCTTTTTGTCGTTCACATTCTTTCTTACTGCTTATAGCCAGGGTGGACCCTGCACAGTGAAAGAGGTGAAATAAAGTGACTTTGGGATAACTGTTAAGAATAAGCATGGTTCCAGAGAGACTGTTGCTGCTCCCAGATCACAGGCTCCCACGTGCACTGACCACCAGACCCAACATCTTTACCTGTCCAGTAGGAGGTTACTTTTTTCTGCAGCAGCATGTGTGTGTGTGGATAAAGTCATAGGAAAAGACCAGTGTGAGATCCAGGAGGAGCCGTGTTGGCCCCTCATCTGTGCGGCCGTTCATCAGAACCGACCCCTCTCAAACGTTATCTCCTTCTGACAAATCTGGTCATTTCTCAGGACAGGGCAATCCCTACTGATGGGGGCTCACACCTCACCTCGTCTCCCTTCTTCCCCTCTCACCTGCAGCACCCTGGAGCAACAGGAGGAAGAAGGGGAAGAGCAGGTACAGGATCCGCATGGTTGGCGCCTATCCCAGGTCTTCACAGGGCTGCAGAGAGGACACATCAAGACAGCAAAGACAGGACATGGACAAAGCTGGGCACACAGGGTGAGCCAAAATGCAGAAGTTCAATCTCCAACAAAGAAAAAGTGATAATAATAATTCTTAGCATTGCAATTTCTGAGGTGACTTGGGAGCATTGCAGGAAACACCAGCCTGTTGGACGACTTGGAGTTTATTTCATTGTCTTTTTCACAGGTTTTCCTGATGTTTTCCTCAAAACATGGACTGGACAATTCATGCCTAGTTGTTGGCATTTTACTCAAAACAACATGTACTGAAACTGAGATTATAAGGAGATAAAAAACTACTTTTACAAGTTATAGTCCCTCAGAACTTTCACAGAGCATGTGTTTGTCCCCTGAGCAGAATTTTCCAGAGAGACAGGAACAAGGGGTAACACAAGATACACTTCCCAACAACAGTCAGCAGGCCAGGTTTACCACCAGGACATTACTCTCTCCCTTCTGCCTCTTCTTAATCAAATGCCAGAACAGAGAAGGTTTGCACATCTGTAAACGTTTGTGCCAACACTCAGTGCCCTGCCAATAGCCAAACCAGGGTCAAGAATTTAGGGAAATGCTTGTACCTGGAGATGTCGTGCTCTATGAAGAGTTAGATGGTGTTCTCCATCACCTCAGCCAATACAAAGCTGGCTGCCCAAAACACCCTGCCCAATCATCTCTACTTCTCTGGGCTCAAGACAGTCCTCCCAGCTTCGCTTGGGAGTGCCCATCTTCAACTCAAGACCATTCCCAGGCTTCCCAGCAAAGAACTCCGCATGAAGGCACCTTTCCAGTCTCTCCTGTACTTAGGAAAATCTGCTTTTATCTTCCACATGTTCTGGACTCTTAAAAGTTTTTTAAGGAGTCCCAAAGAAAGTTTTTATTCTCTTTCCCAGGCAGCTCTGACGCTTGTTTATGTTCAGAGACACTTCCAACAATTTGTCATTTATTTTATCTTCCATATGTTCTGGGCTCTTAAAAGTTTTTTAAGAAGTCCCAAAGAAAGTTTTTATTCTTTCCCAGGCAGCTCTGAAGCTTGTTTACGTTCAGAGACACTTCCAACAATTTGTCATTTAGTTGCCTCCAGGAAGAAGGGTTTGCACAGAGAAGCTGAATGGGTGGCCAGTCTGGAAGAGGCTCCTTAGTCACCTACCTGATGAAGGTGTTGGTTGAGAGTCCACCAAGGCAGCAACAGGCTGTAACAATCCCACCAGCGATGACTTGCACCCAAAAGTGCAAGGATCAGGGAGTATCCCTTTGCCCCAAACGGCCTGGTTTTACACTGTTTCCAGTGGGTGGGATGGGCTTTTTCCTGCATGCCACATCTCCCCTTGGCCAATCAGAAAGTGACCCATCTGCGTGGGGATGGTGGGGTTGTAGCTTGTCCTGTCTGCTGCAGTGGGAGAGGCTGAGGTGCCTCCTGGGGGCTGTTGCAATCTTCACCGTTATCCTCATGCAACACCTCTTGTGACACCCCGGGGCACAGTGGGCACACGGGCCGTGGTGGCTTGCTGAAAAATCCTTGGGGTGGACAAAGTATCTGGTTGGTGCAGACACCAGCACCAACACAGTCACAGAAAAAGGGAGTCCTTCTATGTCTCTTCTCATCTGATTAATCAGCCAGTGTGTGATGTTCAAGAACACGCAGAATATTGAAAACCCTCCCACCTCTAGACACTGCAAGAACACCTTCTTCTGGGACAGGGTGTCTGTGCAAGATATTGCTTCAGTGGCCGGTCCAGCCCAAACCACAACAACCTGAGATGTCAAAGGTCATCAGCATGACTCTGTCTCTCTAGTGACTGTTCAGACAAAGCGAGAGTAACACCAGGATACAAGTTAAGGTCTGTAAACCAGGTCATCCAACAAATCTGTGTCTACTCCTAAACCCACCCAAGATGAAGAAATATGACAGACACAGCCATCGCCTGTGAAGCCAATGCATATGATGCCATTTATGCAATCTGGAGAAGTGGAAGTCCTTTTTGGGCAGGTGGGGGCTGTGTTGCATGTCTGATTTGGCAACTGTATTTCAAGGTGTTTGGAAGAGTGATCTGGTCCTCCCAACTCCAAGGGGTCATCTGTTGGAGATTTTGGCAGTGGATTCTGGCCTCTTGACCTTTTCTCTTTGCATGTCGTTGAGATTACAAGTCATGGTGGCAAAGACAACAATCATGAAAAAAGTGGAAGATGGCTTCTGCATGCGTAGCAGAAGCACATGGCGCACTTGCCCAGGGGACTGATCTTGGGTTTTACTGGGAGAGATTTTTGAAAAGAAGCAGAAAAAAGTTCATTTCTGTGGTAGAGCAGCAGCTTGGTGCTGACTTCTAATGAGCAATGATGCAGTGTGTGTGTGTGTCCCAGGACATATCCAGCAAACCACAGCACCCAGAGGCTCTTATGCAAGGTAAGATGACACAAGACCCAGGGCTCGAGGCCTGGGAATCCTTCTGAGATGTCAGAAGGGGAACGTGATGCTTCCTTTCCTCTGGCAAGGGGAGAAGCAGGAAGCGGAGCTTTTGCTCTGGACATTCTGAGGTACCAGCAACTCCAGGCTGACCTCTGTGCTCTCCTCCTCTTGATGCTCCAGGGAGCAACAGGTAAGATATAAATGAATGAAGTGTATGGATAAATGGAGGATTTATCTGATACCACAGCAAAGCTGCCCGGTAGATAATGAGGTTTCCCTACAGACATAATCCAGATGAAAGAAGACAGAAGCTAAACTTCTTAAAAGAGACTTTTATTTTTCCTCAATTGAGATTATGAGTCACATATGACTTCTGGTTGCTGTGGCATCCCCCCCTGAGGTCTCTCACATCCCATTTCTTTAAGGAAAGGTTCCTACTGCAGGTTCTGCAGCTGGGACCAGAGCTGGGACCTTGTAACAAAGCTCTTGCGCTCCACAGATGAGGTTTTGCCATCATCTCCATACCTCCTGGCCCTTGCCTTTCCAAGTCAGCAGCACTGGGCACAGCAGCCTTACTGGAGAGGAGGAGGAGGGAGGAAGGAAGATCCTACTTCCATCCTTGGAGTCCCCCCTTGTGCCAGGAGGGAGCCAGTAGATGTGTTGGAGAGCCTTTCCCAGAGACTGCTGTGGGATGGCAGTGAGCATCCCATCCAAGTGCCATGAACATCACCCTGCTTCCCATTGCAAAATCCCTCTTGGCTATTGGAGAAAGGGGAGAATATGCAACCCAGGGACATGGGGACACCCCTGAGTTGACAATACTGTGCTGCCCATCCCAGGAGCTGCTGCTGGGGCTGAAACGACCTAGCATCCTCCATCAGTTCCCACCAACATTGCTGGCAGCTCATCCACCATCTGCAGAGTGCAGGGACCCTTCCTGGGCTCCAGTTAGTCCCATATTTGCCCAGCCAATAACAAAATTGAGAGAGAATTTCCAGTGTGTGCACGGATAAATAGACAAACACAAGTGTCAGTTCTGACCTCTCCAGTCAGAGTAATGTCCTGGTTCATGTATGTATAGACATCTACTGCAAAGTACCCAAGGAGACTCTGCTCCCACTAAGCAGCAAAATAGTGCTTGCCTTGAACTCATCATCACCAGGGCTGAGCACTTACGACAAGAAAGGACACCTTTACCCACCACAAAAAGAGACTGACATGGAAGGAAGGTCCTGGAAAAGAAAGAAGTCTGCGCCTGTGAAAACTAGGACAAGATTCCTCATCCCCAGCAGAGAGAAGTTCCATCACACCCACAGCAAACACCCTGGCCCAGCAGGGACTGCCTGGATAGGTGTCCCCACACCACTGCCAGGAAGGAGCATCCCTGTGGACAGATTTGATGGTGGTGACCTCTAGCATCCCCAAGCACTTCTTCCTGTCACCACCCCACCGAAAACCCTGGAGCCAGCCACTGTGAAACACAGGCTCCACCACAACAGAACAGACACATGTCCAACACACTGCAATGCCAAACTGCTCATCTTTATTCAAGCCAGGAAAAGAAGCCTCTGCCCCAATGACACCAGCTCTGGGATGTCTCTCACCCACGAGCAGCCGGGCACCCAGCAGTGCTGTCACATCACCTGGGGATGGCAGAGGCAGAAGGAGGAGAGGACATCACGAGATGGTTCCAGAAGCCAGAAGAAAGGGGGACGTCCTGCTGACAGAGTTCAGGGTCTCAACCTCAGATTCTGTGTGAAGAAAGCAGACAAGAGCATCACCTGTTGAAGCTCACTTTTCCTTTCCTCCCACTGTCATCTCCCCTGCAGTGACAAGCAAGTCTATGGTGCAAGAGAATCAGGCTCAACAAAGGTGAGGGTTGGTCCTTATTGCAGACAGTTTGGGCCTGTGTTATCTTAGTGTTGGAAGCCCTGACTCCAAGTCCATGTAAATGCAGCAAAACCAGGATCATGACCTCAATATTGTCCAAGGACAGTGACTGCTTTGCTCTTGGTTGGCTTGGGAGAGCCCTCTGCAAAGCCTGAATGGGTCTCCTGGGACTGAAGAAGAGCAGGAAGGTGCTGGCTGACCTTGGGCTCCTTCAGTCCCACAGCAGGCAGGTCCAGGCCCACAAGGGCTTTTCCCTGCCTCCTCGGGCCTCTCCCCCAAAGCATAAACGCAAGAGAGAATTTACCAGACAATGTCTAGACAGAAATTTGTAACAGAGATTTCTGCGGAGAAAAAAGGTAACTCTTTCCTTAGTCATGTCCTTACCTTTTGCAGCAATGTAGCAATCTTGGACAAGTTGCATAAATTCTTGAAGTACGGCGGCAGTATGCACTAGTGCAGTATCCCCCCCTTTGTCTGCACCCCAACTTTTGTGGTTCCATGGAGAACACTAAACACAAAAGAATGAAAGAGATCATCTGGCATGGCAGTGTGTGGTTGCAGAAATCCTGACACTCCCTGTGCCTTTCAGGCCAATTGATGGGCTCAGCTTCAACCTCACCATAGCCACAGCTTCAAGGCCAACATGTCTCTCCTAGAAGGACTCTTTCAGTCCCTCGTGGGTACACACAAGAACAGACAGTGGGAAGGACCAGCATGAGGTCGAGGAAGAGCTGTGCTGGCTCCTCAGCTGTGTGTTCACCGCTGTCTGGACCAGCAGTGGTGGCAAGTGGGGTACTCCCCATAGCCCATGTCCCAGTCTTGGTTGAACCTTTGCCTTGGAGGGATCTCTGATGGGAAGTCCTTGCCCAGCCCTTGCAGGGATCATGCCTTGGGGAAATGAGATTTTGGGACACTCAGCTGAGACACCACTAAGAGGAGAATGGACTGCTTTGTGCCTCAGAAAACACACAGATCCAACAACTCCCTGGGGCTTTCCCATCCCTACACAAAAGAAAGATCCTCCAGAGACATGGAAAGAAGAACAGCTGGGGGAAGGATTGGAGCCTGAAACCAACCCCCTTCCTGATCGACAGAAGATTCCAGCCCTCTGTTTCCACGGGCTCTCTCCACCCACAGTCCATGTCCTCTTTGAAGGGCACTCAGAAAATGCCTCCTTTTCAATCCCCCCTACCCTTTGCAGTACTCCATCTAATGTGATCACTTCTCGGGCACATGGAGGAACACCTTTGATGGCCGCTCATACCTCACCTGCCTCCCTTCTTCCACACTCACCTGCAGAACCCTGGATCAACAGGAAGAAGATGGAGAAGAGCAGGTACAGGATCTTCATGGCTGAGGCCTCTCCCGGGTCTTCACAGGGCTGCAGAGGGGGACACCAAGACAGCGAGGACATGGAGGACCCAGGTGATGCAGAAGCCTGGGCAGTCTGCTATACCAAACTGCAGAGGGGCTACCTCCTGCTAAAGCAGATGATGTTGCCTCTACCTTTCACTTAAGAACAATTCTTAGGTCTGTACCACTCCCCACCCCTTGGGATTATTCTTAATTCCAAGGCATTTCTGATGGCCTTGGTTACATGCATGGGTACTTCCAGCGTTTTGCCATGGAGATGAGTCTGGGGTGATGGGGCTTGAGCAGAGAACTGAAGGGGCAGTTTTCCAGAAAATGACGCAGCCATTCCTTACCTGATGAAGGTCTTGGTGTTCAGGCAGTAAGAACCCAACAGGAATGGCTGGTGTCCAGATGTCCTTGGGTCCAAGGAGTACTGCTTTGGCTAAATCTCCGAGGTTTTATATCATTGCTGGTGGAGGGGACACGTGCATATTCCTGCTGACACATCTCCCTTTGGCCAATCGGAAAGCGACCCATCTGTGTGGGGACGATGGAGTTGCACCTAATCCCTCTCTGAAGCAATGGGAGAGGCTGAGGTGCCTCCTGGAGGCTGTTGCAACCTTCACCGTTATCCTCATGCAACACCTCTTGTGACATCCCTCTATACAGTGGTCGCATGGGCTGTGGTGGCTTGGCATGTACTGCCTGGGATGGACAAAGCAGAGTGGTTGGTGTAGACACCAGCAGCAAGGAGTCCCAGAAAAGGATAAAATATTTGTCCCTTCCTTTCTTCTGAGTTTATTTACTAAGATGATGCTGTACGACATGAAGGATCATGAAAAACATTTTACTTCAAAGAACAAGTTCACCCTTACATTTAACACACCAAGAAGTGATGAGTATTATTCTACCTTTCTGATGGCTGCTGAGATAAACTGCCACTGAATAGGGACTATGCAAACTAAGTGGGAGTAGGGGACATACCAGACCTTGGAGATGTGAACTTGATCAAGAGAGTTTGTGGATTTCTAGGAATTATGTGATGCTTCAGAAAGGTAAAGATCAAGGTGGGTCATGGAGGAATGGGTCATGAGAAACAGAAAGAAGCAAGGGATGAAAGGAGCTAAGCTCATATAAGCAGGCTGATGGTCAATTGGCGTCTCTGGCCATGCCCTACACCTCATCATCTTGATCTGTCCTATGTTCCTGGTAAACTTTATTTCTAATGATTTTTTGTACAAACAATCTGTCTGTGGTGTGTCTGCATGGTGGTGCAGTCCTCTACCAATCTTCAAACCAGAATACTGGCTGTGGGAGAGAGTACCAAGAGTGCTGGTCCATTAGCCAGGGAGACCAAAGCTGTGGGAGCTGGATCCTGAAGCGACAAAGGGTCTTCAGGTTGGCTACAGCAGAGATCAAGGGTCTGGTACCACCTACAAGAGAGATTCTTGTGATGGGGGTCTTCCCCGAGCAGCAAGCTATAGGAGGAGGAATAGGTGTCTGTGGTGGTGTCTTTGTGGATCTAAGGGTCCTGGGGAGCATCCTCACTGCTGGAGGTGTGGTATCAGGCCCAGGACCAGTCTATGGCCAGGAAAGCCAAGGGCTGCTGAGTACAGTGTGGAGAGGGGAAGAGGGCTTCCAGCCCACACTGATGGGAAGACATGCCTGGGGCCATCCCTTGTCCAGGGGAACTGCTTTGAGCTGGGGAACTTGTGCTGGACCCCACCAGCCCTGCTGCTTGGCCCCACTGATTCAGACCTGGTCCTTGGCTCACTGTTGACATCCTGGCCTGGCCTTGACCTGTGCCACGGCCTCCCTGAACATCATCGGTCTGCCCCAAGACTCTTGCTGCCAGGAAAGAGCATCCTCAAGAACAGCCATGATGGTGACCTCCAGCATCCCCAAGCGATTCTCCTGCCACCAACACACAGCCATGTCCAGAGCCGGCAGGCACAGCACACCCTCCATCACAAGAGAACAGACACACGTCCAACACACTGCAATGCCAAACTGCTCATCTTTATTCAAGCCAGGAAAAGCAGCCTCTGCCCCAATGATGCCAGGTCCAGGATGGGATTTCTCCCGCCCACAAGAACCCGGGCATCCAGCAGGAACAGATGTCACACCACCTGGGGACGGCAGAGGCAGGGAGGGGAGAGTATATCAGGAGATGGTTCCAGCAGCCAGAAGCAAGGGGGACATCCTGCTTGCAGAATTCAGGGTCTCAACCCCAGACACTGTACAAAGAAAGCAGAGAAACACGTCACCCATTGAAGCTTACTTTTCCTTTCCCTCACTCTCTCCCATGTCCCCTGCAGTGACAAGCAAGTCTATGGTGCAAGACAATCAGGCTCAACAGAGGTGAGGTTCCATCCTTACTGCAGACAGTTTGGGCCTGTGTTATCTTAGTGTTGGCAGCCCTGAGTCTAAGTCCATGTAGATGCAGCAAAACCAGGATCATGACCTCAATGTTGTCCAAGGACAGTGATTGCTTTGCTGTTGGTTGGCTTGGGAGAGCCCTCTGCAAAGCCTGAATGGGACTAAAGGAGTGCTGGGAGGTGCAGGATGACCTTGGACTCCTTCAGTTCCACAGTAGGCAATGTGGGAAACCCACAAGGGCTTTTCCCTTCCTCCTTGGACCTCTCCCCCAAAGCATAAATGCAGTAAAGAATTTACCAGACATCATCTAGACAGAAATTTGTAACAGAGATTTCTGCGGAGAAAAGAGGAAACTCTTTTCTTAGCCAGAAATATAGAGCTTACTTTTTGCAGCATTTCTGAAATCCTGAACATCTTCCAATATGTCTTGCAGGGTAGCGGCACTGGCCAAAAGTGCAGTATCCCCTTCTTAATCTGCATCCGATCGTGCTTTTTGCGTCCATGGGGGATGCTACACACAAAAAAATGAAAGAGATCATCTGATCATCTGGTCTAGCCTTATGTGGTTGCAGAAATCCTGACACTCCCTGTGCCTTTCAGGCCAATTGATGGGCTCAGCTTCAACCTCACCATAGCCACAACTTCAAGGCCAACATGTCTCTCCTAAAAGGACTCTTGAAGTCCCTTGTGGGTACACACAAGAACAGACAGTGGGAAGGACCAACATGAGGTCGAGGAAGAGCTGTGCTGGTTCCCCAGCTGTGTGTTCACCACTGCTTGGACCAGCAGAGGTGGCAAGTGGGGCACTCCCCACAGCCCATGTCCCTGTCCTGGTTGAACCTTTGCCTTGGAGGGATCTCTGATGGGAAGTCCTTGCCCAGCCCTTGCAGGGATCATGCCTTGGGGAAATGAGATTTTGGGACACTCAGCTGAGACACCACTAAGAGGAGAATGGACTGCTTTGTGCCTCAGGCAACCCACAGAGCCAAAAACTCTCTCCATACTGTGGTTCTCCCATCCCTACACAGAAAAAAGACCCTCCAGAGACACCCAAAGAGAAACATCTGGGTATATGGTGGGAACCTGAAACCAAACCCCTTCCTGATCCACAGAAGCAGCCAGACTTCTGTTTCCACAGGCTCTCTCCACCCACAGTCCATGTCATCTTGGAAAGGCACATAGAGATTTCCTTCTCCTCAATCCCCCCTACCCTTTGCATTCTTCCAACTATCGTGGTCACTTCACAGTACATGGAGGGCCCCACTGATGGCTACACATACCTCACCCACCTCCCTTCTTCCTCACTCACCTGCAGAACCCTGGATCAACAGGAAGAAGATGGAGAAGAGCAGGTAAAGGATCTTCATGGCTGAGGCCTGTCCCAGGTCTTCACAGAGCTGCAGAGGGGGACACCAAGACAGTGAGGACATGGAGGGCATGGGTGGTGCAGAACCCTGGGCAGTCTGCTATACCAAACTGCAGAGGGGCTACCTCCTGCTAAAGCAGATGATGTTGCCTCTACCTTTCACTTAAGAACAATTCTTAGGTCTGTACCACTCCCCACCCCTTGGGATTATTCTTAATTCCAAGGCATCTCTGATGGCCCTTGTTACATGCATGGGTACTTCCAGAGTTTTGCCATGGAGATGAGTCTGGGGTGATGGGGCTTGAACAGAGAACTGAAGGGGCAGTTTTCCAGAAAATGACGCAGCCATTCCTTACCTGATGAAGGTCTTGGTGTTCAGGCAGTAAGAACCCAAGAGGAATGGCTGGTGTCCAGATGTCCCTGGATCCAAGGAGTACTGCTTTGACTAAATCTCCGAGGTTTTATATCATTGCTGGTGGGGGGACATGTACCCTTTGGCCAATCAGAAAGCGACTCATCTGTGTGGGGACGATGGAGTTGCACCTAATCCCTCTCTGAAGCAATGGGAGAGGCTGAGGTGCCTCCTTGGGGGCTGTTGCAACCTTCACCGTTATCCTCATGCAACACCTCTTGTGACATCCCTCTATACAGTGGTCGCATGGGCTGCGGTGGCTCGGCATGAACTGCCTGGGATGGACAAAGCAGAGTGGTTGGTGTAGACACCACAGCAAGGAGTCCCAGAAAAGGATAAAATATTTCTCCCTTCCTTTCTTCTGAGCTTAGTAAGCAAGTGGTAAGTGATATGGAGGATCATGCAAAACATTTTGCTTCAAAGAACTTCATCCTTGCATTTGACACACTAAAAAGTGACAAACATTATGCTACCTTTCTGATGGTTGCTCAGGTAATCAAAAGATGAAAAGAGACTGCAAACTAAGCTGGACTTTCAGACCTACTGTGCCTTGGAGGTGTGAACTTGATCAAGAGAGTTTGTGGATTTCTAGGAATTATGTGATACTTCAGAAAGCTAAAGATCAAGGTGGGTCATGGAGGAACAGGTCATGAGAAACAGAGAGAAGCAAGGGATGAAAGAGGCTAAGCTCATGCAAGCAGGCTGATGGTCAATTTGCTTCCCAAATATAGTTGCCAGACCAGCCACATGTCTCATGCCTTTAGTCTTGCACTTCTACCTCTCCTTACCAAGGGCCAATGCACAGAAGGTTGATATCTGGAGGTTCTCGAGCCAACACTCAACCCAATGCCAATAGTCAAATTTGGATCAGGACCCAACCCAGGTTCTGGAGCTGAGGGAAATGTACCAGGAGATGCCCAGCATTTGGTGAGGCAGGCCCCTGATGACCAGTATGGTCAGTTCAAACCAACCTTCTGAGTGTAAGCCTGAAAGGATGGGAAATCTCTGTAATGCTGCATGAATAGCATCTCCCTCCTTTGTCCAGGACAGTCTCCATGCTCCCCAGAACATGAGGTCCCAGGACCTCACACATGAAGACACATTTCCAGTCCCACGTGTGGTCAGGAAACCCAGTTTCACTTTCAGCATGTTCTTGGCTCTGATAACCACTGATAACCATATAGACAGTCAGTTATCCTACGCATGACAGAAAGCAGAAAAGGTCATGTATTCTAGATAAAAGACATCCTTTCTCTCTTTTTTCCCTTCCTCTTTCCCTTTTTCTCCTCTCTCTCTGCACTTTGAAACTCATGAGCTGATTGTCCACACCACCATCAGTCTGGTTTGAGAGGTTCTGGGCCAAGGAGTTCCTGGGGAAGTAGAACAAGTTCTCACTACAGGGATGAAGGCCGCTCGTGGGGACTGCTGCAGGCTCACTATAATGAGAGGTGAGCACAGGTGGAGGAAAGGCCATGGCAGACAGGGATGACCTGAACATCCCTCACCACAGTCCCCACTCAGGAAAGCACTGGCAGTGAAGGCTTTGCCTTCTTGGAAGGGAAAACCTTCACCAAAAGAGCCAGGGTCACTAGTTGCTCCCACAGGTGTGTATGTGTAGACATATATGTCTATTGAATCACTCAGGGAACCCAAAGCATGAGGTTTGCATTTGCAGACAGGTAGAGGTCACTGCCTTTGATGGAGAAGAGCATTGCCATCCCAGATTGCCTCCAGGTGGGCAGAGAGGAGAAGCCAGCCTGCTTACTCCTTGTGGGACTACAAATTTGATCATTTCCAGGCCATAGTCAATGGGACTCATTTCACAGGTCACCTGGAGGACAAGCTGCATAGCCTCCTCTTCTTCCTCCTCCTAGCTGGTGGGATTAGGTGTGGAGCAGCACAGCTCCCGTATGGCCCACAGCAAGGAGGGATGCAGCCTGCTGGAGCAGGACAAGGTGGAACACCAGAGGCTCTAGGACAGGTTGGGTGGGCAGCCTTGCCCATGCCCACCCAAGGGACGCATCACCCAACACAGCCCTGTGCACGAAGCCGTGGCTGTCAGGGACAAGGGACTGTCAGGAGGAGGACAGGGCTCCCACTTCGCAGAAGGGAACATCCACAGAGCAGGTCCATCAAATCCACAGCAAAAAAACCTGGCCCAGCAGGGACTGCCCGGATAAGTGTCCCCACACCACTGCCAGGAAAGAGCATCCCAGGAAGAGCCATGGTGCATGCCAGCATCTCCAGGTGATTTTACTGCAGCAAACCACCAAAACCACCACCAGACCTGGCCACTGCGACACAGGCTCCACCACAACAGAATAGACACATGTCCAACGCACTGCAATGCCAAACTGCTCATCTTTATCCAAGCCAGGAAAAGCAGCCTCTGCCCCAATGACACCAGGTCTGGGATGGGATGTCACTCGCCCAGGAGCACCCGGGCACTCCTGCTGTCACATCACCTGGGGACGGCAGAGGCAGGGAGGGGAGAGTATATCAGGAGATGGTTCCAGCAGCCAGAAGCGAGAGGGATGTTCTTGTGCTGAGGACTTGCAGAGTTCAGGGTCTCAACCCCAGACACTGTACAAAGAAAGCAGAGAAACACGTCACCCTTTGAAGCTTACTTTTCCTTTCCTCCCACTCTCTCCCATCTCCCTGCAGTGACAAGCAAGTCTATGCTCCAAGAGAATCCGGCTCAACAGAGGTGAGGTTTTGTCCTTATTGCAGACAGTTTGGACCTGTGTTATCTTAGTGTTGGCAGCCCTGACTCCAAGTCTACGTAGATGAGGCAAGACCAGGATCATGACCTCAATGCTGTCCAAGGACAGTGACTGCTTTGCTCTTGGTTGGCTTGGGAGAGCCCTCTGCAAAGCCTGAATGGGTCTTCTGGGACTGAAGAAGAGGAGGGAGGTGCTGGCTGACCTCGGGCCCCTTCAGTCCCATAGCAGGAAGGTCCAGGCCCACAAGGGCTTTTCCCTTCCTCCTCGGGCCTCTCCCCCAAAGCATAAACGCAAGAGAGAATTTACCAGACATTGTCTAGACAGAAATTTGTAACAGAGATTTGTGTGGAGAAAAGAGGAAACTCTTTCCTTAGCCAGAAATATAGAACTTACTTTTTGCAGCAGGCGTAAAATATTGAACATCTTCCAAGAGATCTATGATTGCGGGGGCAGCGTCCCAAGGTGCAGTATCCACCTCTTTGTCTGCATCCGAATTGGTTTCCTGTTTCCATGGGGGATGCTACACACAAAAGAATGAAAAAGATCATCTGGCATGGCAGTGTGTGGTTGCAGAAATCCTGACACTCTCTGTGCCTTTCAGACCAATTGATGGGCTCAGCTTCAACCTCACCATAGCCACGGCTTCAAGGCCAACATGTCTCTCCTAGAAGGACTCTTTCAGTCCCTCGTGGGTACACACAAGAACAGACAGTGGGAAGGACCAGCATGAGGTGGCAAGTGGGACACCCCATGCAGCCCATGTCCCATTCCTAGTTGGACTTTTGCCTTGGAGGGATCTCTGATGGGAAGTCCTTGCCCAGCCCTTGTGGGGATCATGCTTTGGGGAAATGAGGTTTTTGGACACTCAGCTGAAACACCACTAAGAGGAGAAAGGACTGCTTTGTGCCTCAGGCAACCCACAGAACCATAAATCCTCAGCCCTTGTGGGGATCATACCTTAGGGAAATGAGGTTTTTGGACACTCAGCTGAAACACCACGGCAAGTGGGACACCCCATGCAGCCCATGTCCCATTCCTAGTTGGACTTTTGCCTTGGAGGGATCTCTGATGGGAAGTCCTTGCTCAGCCCTTGTGGGGATCATACCTTAGGGAAATGAGGTTTTTGGACACTCAGCTGAAACACCACTAAGAGGAGAAAGGACTGCTTTGTGCCTCAGGCAACCCACAGAACCATAAATCCTCTTGGCTTCCTCCATCCCTGATCCCTGTCCAGAGACACCCAAAGAGAAACATCTAGATGCATGGTGGGAGCCTGAAATCAATCCCTGTCCTGATGCATAGGAGAAGCCAGGCATATATTTCCACAGGCTCTCTCCACCCACTCTTGAAAGAGCATTCAGAAATGGCCTTCATCTTCTCCATCTAATATGATCACTTCGCAGCACATGGAGGGCCCCACTGATGGCTACTCATACCTCACCCACCTCCCTTCTTTCCCACTCACCTGCAGAACCCTGGATCAACAGGAGGAAGATGAAGAAGAGCAGGTACAGGATCTTCATGGCTGATGCTTTTCCCAGGTCTTCACAGGGCTGCAGAGGGGGACACCAAGACAGCGAGGACATGGAGGACCCAGGTGGTGCAGAAGCCTGGGCAGTCTGCTATACCAAACTGCAGAGAGGCTACCTCCAACTAAACTTCTGCCAAAACTCAACGCCCTGGCCCATAGTCAGTCTATGGGAAAGAAAGGAGTCAGGGTCTGAAATTTCAGCAAATGCATGTGCCTGGAGATGCCATGCTTTATGAAGGGTTACTTGCCATTTTCCATCACCTCAGCCTGTCCAAAGCTTGCTGCTCCAAACATCCTACCCACTCACATCTGCCTGGGCTCAAGAAAGTCCTCCCAGTTTAGCTCAAGAGCATTCCCAGTAGAGACACTCCCCAGCCCCACAATTACTGCCCCTGCCCCAAGCAGTACTGACCCATGGAGGAGAAAGAGGGCAGGGAAGTGTCCTGGTTGCCCAAAATGGAAACACAAACCAGCCTTTTGAGCTAACTGAAAGCCTGAAAGGTTGGGAAAACTCCATAGTGCTGTGGGAAAAGTATCTCTTTATGCTGCTGAGGAAAGTCCCAGTCCTTCAGAATGGAAGATCTCTGGGTCCCTCCTCAAGCATCCAGGCACTTTTCCAGTCTCTCCTGCCGTTAGGAAACCTTACTTCCAACTTGTACGTGTTCTGGGCTCTTAGACTCATAGGAAGATTTTTATTCTCTTTCCCGGGCATTTCTGATGGCTTAACTACATGCATTTTGCCATTTAGTTGAGTCTTGGATGATGGGGTTTGAACAGAGAAGCTGAATGGGCAGTTTTCCAG